TGCCCGGGGGGGGCCCCCCCCCCCCCCCCAAACCGCACCCGTGACAAGGAAGGGCCCCCCAGAAGCAACGCCGCGCGCAACGGCCCCGCGACCCGGGCCGCGCTGCCTGAAAAGCCAAAAGGTCATTAACAACCTTGGGGGAATGGAAAGCCAGAAGAACCACATGCACCCTGAAAGGCCGGCCAAAGTGGCGCGAGAACCGAACCAGGCCAAACCAAGAGCCACCATTTGAGAAAGGGAGGAAGACCCTGTTTTAGCACGCCCCCGCCACAGAGAAGGAACAACGTGCTGAAGCATTGCCGCATCTTTGAAGACACAAAAAAAGAATTCCCCCCGAATAGCAACACCGAAAAAGCACAAGGGAAAAAGACCCACCACCGCCAAAGCAGTGGAAGGAGAAGCAAAGCATGGTGTGCTTGAAATGATTTGCCCGCATTGAGCCGGCCAAGCCACACCGCCGACGATTTCATGAGGGCCAAGGGGTTTCAATAACGGGGAAACGCCGGCGGCTTCGGGAGGATGCTCCCGAGGGACTGCCCCACACTGCCTTTTTATGCCCAACGTGCCGATTCCTGCACCACAAGCGGGCGCGGACTCACAAGGCACAGCTTAGTTAGCCATGGGTTCCGGCCGAATACCGTGATATCAAGCCAATGCAGACAGTGCAAAGAGACGAACCCGCACCAATTGCGATACCCCATCTTCAAGAGCGTACGCTGTCACTTTGCGGCGGACGGGGGCATTGTGGAGAAGCCATGCTTCACGACAAAGCTACCCCAACACCTTATTGCAGTGAAGAGGCCTTTTCCTTCACGACCCCCTCCGGCGGACAAGGCGCCTGTCGTGGCAAACCGTGGGTTAATTCCATTCCCGTTCATTCTTTCAGTATTTTATTGGCCCATGCCCCACCAAACAGCACAACACCCAACCCTCTGGAAGGATTTCTCGGGGCCGGGCCGGTCAGTCTGTGGTTCTCCAGGTGTTGAAGCCGCCGCCCGCAGCCCCCAGCGCGAGTTTCCCCACCGGCGGGGCTGCAACAAAACGGGGGAGAAAGACAGACACAACGAAAACAACAGTCAAAAACAAGGAAGCATGCAGTAAAACAAAGAGGCCCTTTTGCATGTCGATGATGGTGGGCGGCGGCCCTGCTCTTTTAGGGGCAGCGGACGGGACGCAGCTGAAGATTAACCTGGGAAACCCTTATAAAGTACTCTTCACCTTACCTTCTCTTTGAATCCAGAATAAAAGAAGGAAATGTCGTAAAGATATACTCTAGTGTGAACAAAGGTTATCTATCCAATCGCATGACTTCTATGTTTTGAACAATACCAATAGAAATAGTTTTACAATGTGCTCCATTTCCAATAAACGAAATAGACGCTAACAAGACAGAAATTCTAAGAAAACTTCTTTTAACCTGCCCAATGCACTCCACTTCGCAATACATATATGCTTGATGGCTTGGCGTCTCGAATTGGCATTTGCAGGATCTGCTTCGGAAGCTGCGTATTCACACGCAGCCTGAATATGAACATTCTTCAAAAGCTTGTCAACTACGGGCGTATTTTTTTTGGCAAAAAAAAAGGTGTACAGATTCCTCGGTCGAATAATATGGGTGACTCCAGCGCTGCCGTCGCAAGTTATAATAATAAACTTCATAATTGGAGACAAAGGCACGCAGAACCAAACATACCATCGCACTTTCCCCTGGGAAATTATAAACACATCTTTTCCCACGCGGCTCATATGACCACCGCTTTCCCCATGCAGTTGAACAATAAGCCGCCCTATTCGCATATGGAAAGCGCTTGCTTCTGATGCAGAAAAGTTGAACAATGAGTTGGGGCGCGCTCGGACGATTTTCCAATAGCGTTTGGGGCCGCCACCAAGGCCATTTGAACATCTTATTATTCAAAACGTAAAAAAAAGAATACAATGATTTCCTTCCCGCGGCGACCGCGCCCATCATTCTAGAAACCCTGCCTCTACGCTTTCCACCGCCGCCGCGCACAAAATAGCGGCGCCTGTAGAAAGCATTGTGGCGTTTTCTTTTCTTGTTTGAAGGGGGCTATTTCCTGAAGAAAACAAAAACAACAGAAAAATTTTTCCCGCATCTCTACATATGCTATTTCGCCGCCGTTGTACTTTGTTAGACCATGCTGTTGGCTCCCTACTTGTCCCACATCCATTTTTTTTTTTTGTTTTTTTCTTCCTCGTCTCTTTTCGACTTTCGTCGAAGGCCTCACCCCATCAGCCACCATCGCAGAGCACGCCCATTCTTGCTTAATTTCTATGTAGAAGAACACCCCTTTGTTTTGTTATGTGCTTTGTTACTTTTGGTGTTATTGTTTTGTGTTTGGTTTATTTTTGGTATTTTGCCCTTCGTTTCGTTTGGCCGGTTGAGTGGGGCAACGGGCGCCAATGGAATCGGACAGCCAATTCTACTCACCCGGGACCCCGTAGACCCACTTGCCTTTTGGGGCTGAATAGCAGAGAGGGAAAGCACGTTTCGGCAGCAAGCTCGGCAAAAACATAGAGAGGAGGCGAAGCTGAGAGGGGGAAGAGAGGACTATTTCTGGACCTGTATGGTTGGCGTCGGTTCGGGCGGGGAAGGCCGTTGAGGACAAAACCTTTCCACTGCAAGCAGGTATTCGGCCAACTTCTGCATAAAGCACAACTTCTCCATGTCGCCCCCATCCACCCCAAAGT